GCTAAGAAGAAACAGTTGTCCCCCAAATTGCAGTTGAGATGGGAGGGACCGTGGCTGATAGTTAGGAGATTGTCAGATGTGACCTTCCGAATACAGATACGGAAAGGGGGAAAAATGAAAGTGGTGCATTCTGACAGACTGAAGCCATACCAGGGTGAGAAACTGGTACCCTGGAGTCACTCTCCAAAAGCATGTGAAGAAGCTCCTCAGATTGATAAAGCAGGAGAAAACCCTCGAGTCGAAGTGACAGAAGAGACTCCTCATGTTGAGGAAACAGAGAAAACAGAGGAAACAGAGAAAACAGAGCAAATAGAGCAAGAAGAACCGGAAATAGAAGCTCCGGTAGAAAATGGGGATGTTCAGATAGAGGTTGACCCCATCAGAGTGCCAGAGAGGACCAGTATGTCTCGGAGGAACCCGAGGAGAGAGCATCGCCTGCCTGTAAGATACCGGTAGAGTGGCAGACTTTGACTCATCTATGCCACCCCTAGAAGAGATGACCCCCTCTCCCTCCCGAAGTGGTCGTGACTCACCTCCGTTGAAGATGAGGAGACTCGTCACAATCCGAGTAAGGACGACCACCGAAGTGATCTACCGCAACAGGGTCGTTAAGAGAAACGACGAGGTCATCGAGCATCTGCGAGAGACAGAGCTGGACGCTGCACTGGATGATCCTCAGGAAGACGGGACCCAACTAGCAAGTCCTTAGGGCCAGTTAAAGTTTATCTAGTGTTAGTAGTTGTTTTTAGTTTTAACAGTTAAAAGAAGTTTTGTCGGTGCTATTTAGTGTGTAAAAGAGAAGTTATTTTTTATCTTTACAGTTTTAAAATCAGTGATTATTGCCTTCATCTTGTTTGAAAAGAAATCCGTCCATTGGTTAAAATGATTCCCAGTTAATTTTGGATACTATTCGAGTTTAAGTGTGATTTTCCATCTGTCTTATCCCTAAAATTATCTGCATAAATTGTAATCTGTTGATACAAAACATTTCCTTGTATAAAAAGAAAAACAATCAGGAAAAGTGCTTTTATCTTTGCCGAGGATTCATGATTTCTAAATAAATTGTGTGGTTCAAATTCATTGTAAGGAAAACTTTACCATGTATAAGCTAAGTTTTGTATAAAGAAAAACAAAGACTTAGTTTTGTGTAAAGAAAAACATAACATTAGTTTTGCGTAAAGAAAAACATAAGATTAATGCTGTATAAAGGAAAACCTAAGCTTTATTCTGTGCCAAAGAAACACATAGTTTGGTTTTTGTGTAACTGAAAAACATCAGTTTAGTTTTGTATAAAGAGAAATCATAAGTTTAGTTTTCTATAACGAAAAACATAAGAGTGAATTTTACGTGAAGTTTAAAAAGCTTGTGCATATTTAATTAGCTAGACTGGTGCCGGTCACCCATCTCGTGACTGGGTTCGAGCTGGTTTGGACTGGGACAGTCCAAGCTCTGCTCGGGCCTGTGTGGCGTGATGGGGTGGGCCGACACCAGTCTAATTCCCCTTATTTGGTAGTGTTTACTTGTAATTTCTTGGCAAGGAAGTCAGGTCGTGTCAGCGGACAATGTCTCGTGGTTTTGGCGGGAGTGGCCGCCAATCGGAGCGCGCTCGCTGTTGCTGGGCGGGGCGAGGCAGGCCGTGACCGCACTTGCAATCTGTGTTTCCTGTATCCGCGTATGCGTGATTGGTGTTACCGGGCAGAGGTGAAGGGTTGGCGGCCAATCACGGCGTGATTGGGCGTGGCCCCGCTACCCTTGCCGTGGTACTTGAGCGCATGGTCGGCCGGGCGTGAGTTCAGTTCAGTTGAGTCAGTTCAGTTGCGTGAGTTGCGTAAGTTGTTCCTCAGTTCTGTGTATGGAGCGGGTTCAGTAGTAGTGTACGAGTGAAATTGCCATTGTCCGTGACGAAGCTAGCGTTTGCTTTGGCGAGGCCGTGTGTGGTGCAGTGTACCGGTGTTGACGCTGTTTTGGCCTGACTTCTCGTACCGTGGTTGAGCGATTGTACGGAGCGCAGAGCCCCGTGGTGTGACCCAGTTAGCCTGGTAGGACCGAATTGCTTTATCGTGTAATTCAGTGCATTTTTGTACCATTGTTGCAGTTGAGTGTTTGACTTACAGAGTAGGGTGACTAAGTACAGGCATAAGGATTGTTGTCGTGGGTTCACAGAGACGTGCGATAACATAGAGGGTCGACCCAGAGGTTGACATAGAGGCCTGGGAGGAATAGTCACAGGTAGTCAATAACTGTACTCGGTCAAGTTTATTGTCACACGGGTTTTGTCGTATACTGATCAGCTAAGGCGCTCAAACTTATATAATCATAACAATCCAACGATAATAACCTTATAAATCAAAGAGTTCCCAATCAAGTCAGAATTGTCCGTGATTAAATAAACCAATCATTTCCTTTCCACAAAGAGAATTGTGTATCCCAGTGTCCAATATTTCTGCAGTTTCTTCGTCTGTTTGTTCTGTTCTGTACTAGAGTAACAGGGCCTGGTAATCAGTATCCAACTGGGCGGTATATTTCCACCAAAACGAGCTTGCATCCCTGGGCCTAGAGGCTGCTCGAAAACTTCCCTAGGTTCGAGGCAGAAAACATAGTTTGGGGTTAGGGGAACTTTCACCTCAGTCGGTGATTGCCTTCCCTGACCTCTGGTTTCAATTGACCTCGGGAGATTCCGCCACAATATATATAGGTTACAGGTGTCCATCTGTCGCAAATTGCACAGGGTATATACTGATGATACTGCTGATGTACCGCTCTGCAGCTGCTGTACATCTATTGCTCTGCCTCCATGTTGCCATTTTCCACCGTAGCTGCTGAAACTGCTGCAATTATGTTGATGTTCAACTCTTTGGATAAACGTACAACAATAGGAAATTGTGTCACCAATCTGACATCAGGAACCTGAAGTTTACTTGTATAGTGCATGAATCCACACATGACTTATTTACAATGCTTTTTCTGTCACTTAGCGACAACTACTGGGGACGCCACGTATTAACATATTTTTCAATGAAGACTAATCAGAAACTCACATGTGCTTTTACACTACATGGTCGGTTAAAGATCAGTATGGGTACGGTGAGGTTCGATCCTAGATTAGGGCAAACATCAAGATCAGTTGCAGTGAGTGTGTTGTACCTGTTAGTTCAGCACATGAAGCAACGTTGAAATATTGTTCTTGCGGTATGCTAATAAATAGTGAAACATTTATTCGTCGAGATTCAAACTAGTAATAGAACAGTATTGTTGATTGTTCAGAATGCATATTTGCGTTTCGAATTCAATTGTTATTATTGTTTTGATTTATTTACATCGGGAAACAAATTTATCCTGTATAGGCCTCGTGGTGACAGCTAAAGAGATCGAATATGGAGGTGATTTTAGTTTGTAACGAGTTTCTTTTTATGTGGGTTAAAGTATAAATCGGAGAAAAAAACGAAAGTTCAAACCCCACTTTTGAAATGACTACAGGCGATAAATGAAGGTAATAATAACAGAAACCAATGTAGACTGCTGTTTTTGGTTTGATTGTATTTCTTTTTATTCTTATCTACAGATAACATTCCCCCCGATGGAAACCAGTGAGTTAAATATAGTATAAATACTGCTACCGTCATATGGGTCGTTGTAAATTAGTATTGCAGTTCAGTTTCTCTTTGCACTTACATGAGAGGTCATTGCAAATTAATTTCAATGATCTTTATTTCGGAAGATATAATCCAACCTGTATGCACGTTCTGTTCCCACGTTTTATAGAAGCGATATCGCAACACATTTGAAACGTTCCGTGCTGGAATAAATTCAAATATCAGGTCTTACCGATGACGCAATGTTGCAAACGACTACTTCTTTGAAGCCGAAGGAAACAGTGAAATTAATGTGCCTGTATGTTCCCCCAGAACCATTTAGTCTGAACCAAACATCGATGATCTCATGAAATCTGGCGCAAACCTCATTGTTGTAAGATAATTGCACTAAAACTGTTTTAAAAGACTTTTAGCCCCCTGCAAAGGGCGGCCCTACAAAAAGACAGGTCTTGTGATTTTGTTTTTGTTTTTTAATGTACTCATAACGGTTACTATATACTTATTTATTTCTGATCTATTAGCAGGGTAGCCCGTTCGCATAATTATAATGTTGTCTTCCACGGGGCCCTGGACATAACATTTCAAAGAATATAAGTAACGAGACAAAAACTATCTATTAAAATGTTTAAAAGTGTATAACAAATATCAAAACAGACACGAAATCAGACCATATAAAATCATAACCGAATAATCATTAAATAAAAGAGACATGAGCGGGTATACAACATTAACAGTATATTGTATATGAAAGAAAGACATAGACAAAAGTTCAGATTAAGACAAAATATTCGAGAATAAAATCCAGAATAAGTCTCACATGCATATCAATAAACGAAACACGAAAAAAATGTTAATGGTAAAGGCAGTAAAATTAGTACCCTTATTATGTTAAAGATATATAAGAAGCTGCCCTATGCAAGAATGCAGGATTTAGGCGGTGAACAAAAGCAACATATCATAATAACATCAATGGTATGCCTCTGAAAGCTTTATTTTATACCGATATTTTGCTAACATGATATTACAGGCCTGCAGTTCACTACACACGGACTGGAACCGACATGCCCACGGCGTCTGTGAGTCCTGTCTTGAACACAGTCGTAGGACCATCAGGTAAACTAAGCTTTGTGCCCGAGTCCCAAAGCTGTTTGTACTTCAGGGTGGGATGTCCATATCCAAACTGAAATAGAATTGGAAATATCAAACGTACAGGTCATTGGAATGTTACAATGCGCATCGAACCATAATGTCCGATCGCTAAAGAACGTTATTGTTTGACGTTGGTTTTGGCGTGACAGGATGGACATTGCTTCTTCCTAGCATTAAATTCAAAAATAAATTTTCTCAGTTGACAATACAAAATTAGATCCAGCTGCTCCAAATTGATTGTTAGATATGAGGCTGTCACAAACGTCAATATATTTGAGAAATTAATTATTTTGTGGGATCTATTTGATTATGATTGTGATTGTATAAGTTTGGTCCTTATAATTGGATAAGAGTCCTTGTTATTGTTGTATAAGATTATTGTTTATGATTATATGAAATTTGGTGAAGAAGTGTTAAAATCATGGTCGTTTAATACATGTAATGAAACTCACTTTAAACTACAAATTTAATGGTTGATTTGACACTAGTTGCCACTTTAAACCATGTGCATTCGCGTGTTGAGATATCTTTTGTCAACTACCACACAGGGAAAGGTTTACTTGCTTGAGTGTAATACAAAGAACTCTGTTCCTTATTTGGTTTAAACATGCAAATTGCTCAGGTGAACCCCACATTTGTAGAATGTCATTTGAAGAATGGTTTAAGAATTTAAGAGCTGCAATGCTGTTGGTCTGTTAGGATCGGGTGGTTAATCCCAACAAATATGTTTGGAGTGGTATAAAATGAAATGTTTGGAGTGATGCGTCACTTAGTAGCTTACTCACCGGCTCGAGGACACGGGGGTATTGAGGCCCTTGTTTTGCTCTCCAGTTTGGGGAAGGCCGACGGATAGGCGCTCAAATTTGTGTATTGCCGGCCTGATGCCGATGAATTTTGAAGACGCCCGTTTGGCAATGGGTTTGCCGAGTTCGGGGGGCTACTAAGTCACTTACCTCAAAAGCCAGATTTATTATGTAAGTATTCATGTCATGCCTGTATCATTATTTGAAACTTGAGACAGCAATTTTTGAACTGTAATAGGGCCATGCTAAGGACACAAGTTACTGGTATTTATTTTGTATTAGAATAACTGAGTGAAGCATGAGATTATGATGGGTTTCTGTTTAAAATGTTTGGGAAAGAAAATTTACCTGTGTGAAGTAGAATAAAATTATTTAGAGGTAATATTGATAATTGAATTTCAGGGCTTTTTTGGTTGGAACGGGGACACGCTTTTTCACCTGAATGTTCCATCGATGAGCTACCGGGAGCGCCGCGCCGACGACCAGGATCCTGTGGACTTGACGTCACCCACTGGAGGCCGTCGACACCCGTAACCCGATGTCTCTGTTCGTGTCCGTGCCGGTATTCTTAAGTTGGTGGTGGGGATTTATATTGTAATTAAATGTCAATTGTAAATATTGTAATTTATTTTGATTAAGTTAGTTGGTTGTATTAAATTTCTTTATTTCCATACAATTGGTCAAGTGTCTCGCATTACTTTTGTTGGTGAAGTTCATTTTCCATGGTTTCTTTTACACTGTATCACCCTCACAATTGTCCCGATTATGGTGGACCTTGTGACAGAGGCCTTCCATAGGAAGTTACCCTTTTCGACAGTGAAGTCTATTGCTAATTTGGCCATTTAAACACTTTGAAATTATGGCCGTGTTACGAAGATGCCAATTTCAGGACTTTCTTAAAATCATTACAAGATGTGGGAAATATCTACGACAAAAATTGTATAATTGTACAACTGAATTGGATAACATGTACACCAACTGACAAATTAAGTTATACAATCTGTTTCATTTCCTATTAATCTCTAATTTGTATTTTTTTTTTAAGTCTTCAAACTCCTTAAAAACGTTACGTGCTTGAAAGGAAAATTAATGGCTTGCCTCACTCCTTGAACCTCAACAGAAAATATTCCCGATCTAGATGATTTTCATTTTTTTTTCTTCTTTTTTTTGTCTGGCTTTTTTGTTTCAGGCAACAGGGCAGCGGAGACTGTTGTCCTCTCTGACCCCAAGGAGCAAAGAAACGTGCCATCTACCGGCAACCAACAACCAGCCGCCAGTGTAAAAGTCATGAATACACTCCTTAAAGTTGTCAAAAATAATATCACTGATTCGATTTTACTGAAATTTAAATATTTAGTCATTCCCATCCTGGATGTTGAGTTCATGTGGTTTAATAGTCCAAAGACATTTCATCAGCACTTTCTCCATGCTTGTGATAGCCAATTGATTCTTTACCCTGTAAAACCATATCAGAAATGGAATGGTTAAGCAAGTTGAAGTGTTGACAAATAGGGGTGTCAATAATTATAATTTTTCTTCAAGTGCGATTTTTCTAGAATTTGCATTAAAACATTTTTTTTTCTACGTGCTGCATTTATTTCAGGTGGTCCATACGTATGAAGACCGTATCACAAACACACCCCCATTGGAAGCCCAGCCCATCCGCATAGTACCTCCTACTCAATACGAAGACATCGACAACCTCCAGATATCATCTCCTGTCGAGACCCCGCCTCTTTTCAGAGACGACGCTCCCAGCCTGTGGGATGAGGGGCAGAGTGTGGACGGTCTGGATGAAGAGGGCAGGATGGAATGGGCTCCACCCCGCCCCCTCCGGGGTAACCCAATCCTTCCTCCGGTACGGGATTGGCAGATGTAGGTATGTGTAACAATTGCATTAATTAAAGGGTGCGCTCTAATTGCCAAAAAGTGCGATTTCAAGATCACCAAGCGAGCAGCCCAATAAACATGATTTTTAGACTTGTTTAATGATCTGTGAACTGATAAATTTTTCTTCTTTAAATAACGTTCACTGTTTTTCATTTAGTAGGCTTATTTTACAGTGTTTGTCTGTACATGTATAGTTATTTTGTTTTACATGAAGAATGAAACATAGTGGGTTTTTTCTACGTTTGTGTTTCATTTGGTTTTAGTCGTAGGACAACATACTTGGAAGTAAAGTCGAAAGGCTTTTTACGTATAATATTGACTAAACATTTATTAAAATTATTTGTAATTTTATTCTGAATTTAAAGTTCACGGTCGGTAAATTATTTTATTTTGAAAATATCACAGACGTTTTAGAGGCGTTCTGTCAATTTTCAATAAACGTTCCAGTCTCACCCATACAACATGTAATGAATCCATGACGTAAATTGACGATTCCATCTTAGCTTAGAAACTTTACTGTGAATAATGCCACAGTTTGCTCAATGTCTTAATCTAAAGTATAAACAGTTATGACCTAGTAATATTGTAGAGAGATGATTGTTTGTTATTGTTATAACATACAACCTCACCAGTATTGGTGGAATATCGGTGTACTTGCAGCAGTGCAGACCATGTAAGTAGCTTTTAGGATCCGAGTGGCGCCAACTAACGATGGGTGCGGCATTTAAAGTCACACAACCATAAACTTTAAAAGACTATGAAGGAAAAACATGCATGCACCTGAGACTAGGCTGAACCTGAACAAAATACGTTCTGTTTTATGAACGAAGAGTAATGTGCCCAAGTTGTTAAGAGAAGTATAAACAAGTTTTTTTTTATTACAAAGTTGGAAGTGAGTTACGTCTCAATAGGCAATAGTTTCATCCAACGAGGGCGCCGCTGTTATCACGCCATCTTCTTGGTACAAATGCAAGCAAAATGTCGTTCATGGATGCAGTTTAGCTACTTAACTAACATCCAACATTTTAACATAGTAACATGTAAGTTTTAAATAGTAGCAGAATGCAAGCATGCGTCAATAACTTTGGAAACACGTCTGTTAATACCTACAAAATAGCATCGTTACAGCGCCCTCAATTGTTTAAGAATACGGCTCATTTTGGAACTAAGATGTACGTTTAATAATCTCTACCATGCACGTTTTGGTTTTTAAAAGAAAGGTTGCTGCAGCTATTAAACGGTGATGATTTCTTCACACTGAATTTGCCATGTTTAGAACATTCGAACATTATCTCAACTTGTTTTTATTATCCTTTGTGTCTAAAAAAAAAATGTATCTGGCAAAATTAAACATCATCCCTGTTGAATTTTATTTAGGACTTGTAGGGTGTTATTTCACAATTCAAATCGCCTTATTCGCCTTTATAATTCAATAATTGGCAAACAACACTGTGATTATCGACCCTTTATTGTTTTGGGTTCAAAGAAAACACTCGGTCTAAAGGGGCTCTCAAAAAATGATTTAGCTATTGATGTTGAAAAATAATCGATGCTTAAAAATATGCTATAGAAATTGTCTAAATGCATAACGTTCTTTGACCTGTATAATAGCTTGGAAGAACTTTCCCTTTGAATATCTTGCTAAGCGTACATGTGAAATGACAGATCAATGTTTCTATACTTATAAAGGTTGGCATGGTAATTTGGGCTTACTTTGTATATTATTGTATGATGTAAAAACGTTTGAAATGTCAAAAGTTAACTATTCTGCAATTTCAGACAGTTTCCTTCAAAGTTTCCTTCAAATTTATCAACAAGTAAAATTAAAAGTGGGTCAAAGATTTATACACGTTTAATTGTTGTGATCTTACTATTTTTGTGTGTGTAGGAATTGACAAATCAATGCTTCTGTAAGGGCTGGGATGGGTGTGTACCCTGAAGATCCAAGGCAGTCAATGTGAATAAAGCAGTCAATTAACTCAGGTGGTGCAGCTTCTTTGTCCCATTTTTTTCTCTTCTTAATTAATGAAGTTGATCCCAAATTCATCAGAAATAATCCCTCACAAAAATCTTAATGAAAATCCGGAGAGTGAGCAGAGTCCCTAGCCAAATATAATATGGTAAATCCCTGGACACTGTCGCCACTGTTATGCGCTCTCTCCCCGCGTATTAATGTGAACCGGGCACAGCGATCTTCAACGCACCCGTCGTCACGCAACGTCAATGCAACACCGAAGAGGGCAAAGAGTTCGAGCGCTTCCAGTTTGCGACTGGTGGCGACTATGCGTTGAAACCCGACACTTTTTTCCAATGCCTGAAGGAGTACTGCCAACCAGCCCATCAGACGGACTGGAAATGACATCGATCGCGTTGGCCCGTTACGTCATTTACTAGAACGTTAGTCCGGCAGAGACCGCCCCGGTGTTTTCAGCCAGTTTGACAACGGGACGAGGATCGACTCATTGGCAAGTTTCAAAGGTTTCAACGCCCTCAGCGGTTCTTCAACGGCTCTTATGGGTGCTACCCTGGAATCATCTGCGTTCTCCAGTGTTGCTACTCCACGAATATCCTGCGAGTCATCGACCGCAAATCAACCTTCGCCGGTAACCCCTCCCCCCCCCCCCTCCCTGCCCTGCAAACAAGACGCTGGAAAGGGCTGACCTCCTGTGACGTAGCCTGTAGCACACAAACCGCCCCTGTTTATCAAACGTTGCGCGCTGGCGGCATGCGAAGGTTATGATAAGTTACCCATAATGCCATCCTTCACAAGATTTTGTGAAGCGGCATCGGCACTTCCCCGCACCCTGTTTGCCGGGGGGAACGAGCAAAGAGTCAACCAAGTTTCGCTCGTACCCCCGCCCTGCAAACAGGACACTGGGATGCTCTGATGAATTCCCGCTCCGATTGGTTGGATTTTGCGTGACCAGTGACCTACGTGTCATCACGGTCATGACTCTGCAAGCTTTGAAATAGACGTTAGGACTGATTCATTACTCTTTTATTCCAGTTTAGAGATTTTTTTTTTTGAAAAGCGTAATAATGTAGGAAATTCTGTAAAAGTTATCTGTGTTGTAAATTCACAATTCCCGACACTTGCTCAGGCTCCGTTTCGAATCACAAACGGTCGGATTGCATTATGCGACGCTCAAAATTGTGTCCACATGGTCCGCAATAAAACAGCAATCTCATCCGGTATGGAGTGCGCGCATTTCTATGGGAGGTTTCGGACATAGGATAGATATGGGCTAAAACAGCTGCAGCCAGATGCTTTATACATAGGTCATAGGCCACTTCCCCCACAAGATTATGTGAAGCTCATCAGAGTACCCCAGTGTCCTGTTTGCAGGGCGGGGGTACGAGCGAACAAACGAGTTTACTTAACAGACCCGGATGTTGAGCATGCGCAAATACGGGAAGCGTTGTGTTTTATTTTAGGGCATGCAAATATATTTAATTTTGTGTCTCATTTTGTGCGCCCCATTGGTCAAATATAGATAGGCCTAGGCCAATACAGGATTAAGCGTTGTTTTTGTTTTCTCGTTTCGTTTCACTATTTCGGTTGAGTCTGCACAGATTGTTTACCTGGTTTTGCAAATATCATTATCTTAAGACAACTTGGATTACAAAAGTACATCAATATGTTACAGTTGTATGTTGGTACATCCCCCCCCCCCTTCCCGAAGTAAATAATTCATAACAGCTTAAGATTGTCCATTAAGACTTTCTTTTAAAAAAAAGTCTAAGTGTTTAATAATGGCAGAAAAAATATAATCGAAATTGCACAAACGAG